CTCAAGTGAATATTTTCTCATTTTCTTGCATTTAAGTTGGGTTCGCTTTGAAGTTTTGACATTTCATAAAGCAGCAGCGAAACAAATTTCGTTCTTCCTCATTTCGCTTTTATTTCATTTTATTTTTTCGTTTATTCTATATTTTTTTCGATCGAAAATCCGAGCAAACAAAAGTAAAAGCGAACGCTCAGCGCACGCGGAAAAAAAAATACATATTCCCTGCTTAGTCACCCCTGCGAGGATGGAAGGTGTGGCCAAAAAAAACGACCCTCACAGGCCTACCCCCTGGAAAAATAATCGAAAGCACCACCCCCACCAAAGCAACGTGGCGTATACTTAATATGGGCAAAAGGCCAAGACAACAGGGGCTTAAAGTAGCCAAGGAAACATTAAAGACGCTGCCAGGCATCTCAGTTGGCCCACAAAATTACTTGCTCGTTAGTTAGGAAATACCAGGTATTCCTACTCCCCTCCTCTATAATCAATCTCCCTCTCTCTCTATCTCTTTCTCACTCTCCTCTCTCTCACTCTGCTCGGGTCCCTCTCGCTCACTCTATCAACCCTCAATGGAAAAAAAATAAAAGGAGGGCTTTCCAGCTGAACAAAAAACTTCTTCCAGTGGAAAGTGCGTGGCATTTCGCGTCCACCGCTCGCCAGTGGGCGCCACTGTATACACTGCAATTTTTAGGAGACACAGGCAAAGATTTGTGATCTCATTGTGCTTACTTGATATTGCCATAAATAATAACAATAGCTAATAATGTGTTCTTTAAAAAAATAACTGTTCTTCGGAATTTTGTATACTCTTTGTAGGTCAAAATGATCGTATTTAAACCAAGCCATAATTAACTCTGTATAAATAATCGCTTGATTTAAATTTAATGATAAGTTCTTAACGGAAAATAGCTCTTTCCTTCTCATTAGAAATAATGTCAGTGATTGACCATATTTATAAATTTTTTGTATAAGTTTTAGACCCAGTCTAATACTTTTTAAAAGCACTTTCCCGCCCATACAAGCGTCTTGTTTGTCTCTAATTATATTTTAATTTGCACAATCTGCCTGTTATTATTTCTGTGCACGGCAATTGCCTCCAAGTGTTTGCACTTCCCGGCGAACATTTTAATTGCAATTATGCCAGGACGACGAAGGCGAGGACGACAGTCCTCCAAGAAACCATCGTCCTTGCCGCAGGGCGTTCTGTTTGGCACGTAATGCCCGTGGCGCCCCTTCAATGGACACTAATTATTCCGGCCGGAGTCAGGCAGAGAAATTCGTGTCAAATCAGAAAGATTTCGCAGCCGCCCCCTTTTGGGTAATTACATTTGGGGAATGGAAGGAAATTGAGCGAGTGCACAAATTCGGAATGTTAAACAGCCTTCCGACTTGGGGTCAGCTTAAAGAGTGTACCCCGGAATTTCCAGGATCGCCATGACCCTTTCGAGCAGCCAAACAATCGAGCCTGAGCAGCCGAATATATTTTACATTTCCAATTTACTGGCAACAACGAAAACAAGTCACGTACGGCCCAGCTCATTTCCTGTGCCATTTTGTGCCCGACAAAAGGTGTCAAACGGATGCAGACAACGTGCCGCGTATGTCGAATGTCCTGCAAAGGACTTAGCGATACCTCCACCTTTCAAGATGTGGCTTCTGTCCTGTAATCAAAGGAAAGCCGCGCCCCAAATTCACCGAACTTTAAACGTTTCTTAATTGTTAAACTGCCGCTGGGCAGCTCCCCAATCGCAATTTTTCCTGGGGATTCAGGACACTCCGAAGAACTGAAGACGATGGCTCACAATTAAGCCGGAGAAAAAACAGGCAAAAGACAAAAGCAGTAGAAGTAAGACAAACAGCGAAAAGCTGCACTTGGAGAAATCCATTTATGTTATCTACTTCATACTAATGAATGCAATTTCACAAAATGCATAACTCTTTAAACAGATGCTTTTACCTGGCATTTTTTAAAACAAACCATGAGATATGGCAAAAAATACATTCCAATTATATATATTTTTTCGTATTTTGTGCTGTATTAAAATATCATCGGTTTTTTAACGACTATTTTTGGTTTTATCACATTTGTGTGCCATTATTTTGAGTGTGAAGTGTGCTGGCAGCGACTGGCCGTCATGTTAATTAATTTGCCAGGACATCCGCAGTTGGGCGTTGGGTGGTGGGCGGCTGGTTGAGGGGCGTGGCCGCGGAAGAGGGCGGCAGAGCAGGCCGCGTGTTTATTTTATGCCGTCGCGCTTAAGTGGTAAGCCCCATTAACAACTGCCTGTCGTTTGGTGGGGAAATAATGGCGTTAGATCATCATCGTCGCCTTGGCCAGGAACACAAAAAATGTAAAAAAAAAAAGAAATGAACAGGACACTGGAGTCCTGCAGCCGTCTGTGCGTCATTTGAGCGCTGAAAGCTTTCAGCGTAAATTGTTGGAAATTAAGAAATGCTCGCCCCAGCCACCCCACAATTGTGTTTTCCTTGAGCTTCCTGCTCATATTTCATGGGTTCTGTTCTCTGTTGTTTTATAGCCGCCATTTGCTTCTTCTGCTTCTGGTCTTTTTACTTCATGTTTTTTTCCTTTTGCCGCACTGGAGTTTCCATTGTTAATGTCCTGGCGACCGCAAGAGGCGCCACCCATGTCCTGGCCGCAGTGTTTTTCTTTAATTTAGTCCGGTGGACGACTAGCCAGTGGCTTCCTTGTGGGCCTCTTACAATAATTAGATGTAACGGATATTGTAATTGGTGTTAAATTGCGTCAGAGTCCGTGTTAATGTTTGTCATGCCTGTGGTTTCTCAGCAGTTGGGGATATTTTCCGCACTTCCTCCTTGATTTTTTTGTTTTGCCCCAGCCATAAGCTCATTTTTTGTGGGTGGGCTTTATTTGTTTTCCATGGCTGACTGCTTGTTTTATGGTTTATTTAACGACTGCCTTCCTTGGAGCACTTTGCACGGCCATGTCTGCGACGGAACTAAGTTTCGCGGCAGCCTCTACCTGGTGTGTCCTGCGTCCTTTTTGCCTCAATTAGCATGACAATCGACACGGACAAGTTCAGAGAACAACAATGCAGACGGGAAGGCAAGAAGGGCTTTACTCAGAGGCACAAGAGCCAGTTTCCTGGTGGCAACATGACAGGATATGATTGAATTGAATATACGAGAATATGTTGAAGATTTGAATATGAACGGTACCTGAAAAGAGCAATCACAATATTCCTGAATGGCGTGTGAAACTATTTTTTAACCATTTTTAGCTTCAGAGAAATAGTGACGGAATAGTAAACGAACATGAAATACATTAGCAACGAATTACTAGAAAAAAAAACTTTTTTGAGAGTCCGCGAATTTAATTTACTTGAAGCGTACTTTTGCCAACATTTTAAGCTATTTCACTAATATGTTTAAAGTGTAAAAGCCCACTTTTGTAGTGAAAAATCTACCACATCGAGCGTCGTCTGCGGAATTTTGTAAAATTCAATTTGCACCCAGCACCCCAAGAAGCAAAGTTACAGCTCCAATGGAAGGCGAGAAAATTCCGAGCATAAATCACACAAGATAATTTGCATAAGTTGGCAGGCCAGAGCGAAATCAGCAGCAGCTAAAAATGTTTATGGCCTTTTCGCTTGCCACGCCCCTTTTTCTCCACCTTCTTGCACCCCGCCCCTGTGGAAAATTCCCTAATCAAATTAGCAACAGTTAACCGGAAGTGCGAAAATCCGCAAGCTGCATTGTTTGTTGTGTGTTTACTTTTGGCTTTGTTGCAGTTTGGGGATTTCGGTGTGTGTGCGGTGCATTTATTTTGATTTGATTGTTGGCCTCACTCAGCGGGGTTTTCGCACTCGCAAATTTGCATTTTTGGATAATTTTTGCATTTCGCATTTCGCATTTTGCATTCTGGCATTCGAGTATTTGCATTTGAATGTTCGCGTGCGTTGCATGAATCATTCATGTTCGAGTTTCTCATTCTGATTCTGTTTCAGATTTTGCTGGTGCTGCTGCTGCTGCTGCGGCTGGTGATGATTCAAGTATCGATTTGCATTGATTTGCATTTCAATTGCAGCTTTTCGACACTTTACAATGGATTATGCTGCAGTGTGATTTATCTATGGCCAGCATTACATATCAAGTGATTTGGCAATTGTTGCTGTCCATAATGAGGCTTTGTTTGCCATTGTGTTAGCCTCTAACTGTGGCCCTTGTCTATTGACACACATACCCATCCATGAATACCAATTGCCCATATTCCTAGTTTTTAATGCAGTTTTTTTTTTTTTCTAGTTTTTCAAGCGCTTAAAGAGTGCATCGCCGAGCGCCATAAATCATGGCGAAAATTACAAAACAATATGCAGCTACATTTTCTGCTTCTGCTGCGGGTTGTCCTGTCAACTGCTTTTTGTACATTCATTTTTTACTCACGTCTGTTTTATTTTCTGTGCCCTGCAAAATGAGTTGCCAGCACGGACATATTGCCCGAACTACAGAGGAATTCCAAATGCATCCGCGGCTTTTCGTCCGCCAGCATACTCGCCCAATTCCACTAACAAGTGAGTGGTGGAAAAACTGTAGCAACGCATAAAAGCATCTATAGGGCCGAATGAGAAATACTCTACTCATTGGCATTCAAATTATTCACACAGTTTTTCTCAGCCTGTCGAGCATAAGGAATAAGCATTATAATGTTAAGCTTTGACCTCCAAGGTAATAAGATTTCATAATTCTGTAGTTCTGTGCAACATACTTACACCTTTGTGAGCAGATCTTTTACCCAATATAGGGTATCAGCAAAAATTAAAAGAGTTCCCTTCAATGGACAGTGGCTTGGGAAACCTCTCCGCAGCAGCAAATCCGTTGAGTATTGGGTATGCAAATTAATTTTTTTCTACCTATGGACCAGTCCTTCGGCCCCTCCACCACCCCTCGCTTTTTAAGGACACCCTGGATTTCCCTGGAATCCAGCGCCCTCATGTGATGTGCTGCTGAGCCAGCATTTTGTTTCAGATCAGCGGTCGTCGCCGCGTCATGTTGGGAAAAAGTTGTGGAAAAAAATGGATAAATCGAAAAGGGAAATGTATTCGAAAGCATAATATCAACCGCAAAAGTTGAGCTGGCAGTGCCATAAAGAACATTCGTAAAGTGGTTAACTGTAGCTATATGAATTCCCAATTTATAAATATGTATACATATAAATATATTAGGAAATTTAATTTTTCTTGAAAAAAAGTAAAAAATACTGTTTAATTGTTTTAACCTTTTTTATAAGATCCGAATTTGATTAGTAGCGAAATATGCTACAGAAATACGGCCACATAATGCCAAGCTGTCAAATTAAAAACTTGTCAAGGCAAGGAAAATATTAACTAATTGCTCTAAGGCGGATTTGGATAGTTCGAATATTTAAAAGCAACAAAGATGGATATAACAATACCATCGAGTGATGTGAGTAGGAATATATCCTTTCTAATAAATTGCTTACACAAGGATCCAAACTTCCAATGCACTCAATCAGGAGGTGTACATCATTTCGGATTCCGATGATTCGAGAGATGATATAATACAAGAGCTTATGAAAATGGAGGAAGCCAAGGAGAAAAATAAAAACAAGGAGCCCCAAAAGTCGAAGATCGAATCCAGCCAGATAAAAATGAACAAATGGTATTTGAAAGAATTTGAAGACCTTATGGGTCTAGAAATTGCAGGCTCCGATGATGAAGAGGATTCAGATGATCTTAAGAGCGAAAAATCGAGCAGCTCGGAATCCGACAAGATAAGTGATTCGGATGATTCCAACTCAGATGGTAAGTTACAAATAGAAATGTTGAAACGAAATGAAGAGCATTACCTCCAGGATCTTCCACCGAATGGATTAACACTGTAAAGAATGTTAATCTATTTGCATTCAATAAAAGGTTAGCGATATTAACAAGTCTCTCCGCATTCTGGAGTATTTACTTGATATTTCTTTAGTTCTGAAGATACCAAACCAAAAGCTTCCGAAGAACTCCCTTCAATGCCAGTTTTTAGTGGTCCGATGCCATCGATGCCGATTTATGACGCGGAAACCTGTCAATTTGAAATGGTGGCACCCATCAAGCAACCTGATTTAATTAGGGAAGAAACGTAAGTCTTCAGTTATAAATATGTTACATTCACTAATTCCAACGCATGAACTTCACTCAACAGTGGAGCAATGATGCCAAATGAGTTGGATAAATCAGATTCTGAGTTGGAAAAAGAAAAATATCATCCCGAGGAGGAAGACAACACCATGGACAGTAACTCCAGTTCCAGTTTTAGTTTTAGCAGTTTACTTAACCTAAGTGATAGTGATGATGAGGATGATTATGATCAAACAGATTTTGATGAACAGCATAAGGAGAATAAACCAACTTACTGGGAGGAAATGTCATCACGCCCCGTCGACAGGGGTGAAATTTCTCAAGAAGAACTAATGGCTATTTTAAATGAAGACGACAGTCTGACAAATCCGATGAAAGGCTCAAATTCTCCAGATCATCGAAGTGATTGTGATGTCGACGGAGCTATTAAGAACCGTGATGGCTTAGATTTTTACGAGGATCGCGCTCAGTTTCCGGAAAACAGGGAAAATGTTAGCTTGTTGGTTATGAAAGAGGATTCGGTTTTCGCCGAATACGAATTAGTCGTGAAGAAACTTATTAAGCTGATCCAATCGGCACCAAGTCACTACAAATACGAGATATATATACTTTTATATCCATTGATGGCCCTCACCTATCTGCAAATGATGGCCAGTGATAAGATACACAGAGCAAGGATGTTTCTGATTCGCTTTCAAGACCATCTCGATGATTCATATATACCAAGACTAATGAAGCTCAGAGAAATTTGCAGGCCCGCAGAAGTTCCAAATAAGGCACAGAAATTATTGACAGGCCATGAAAAGGTGAAAATTGAAATGTCGGAGGGAGCTTTTCGCCAGTTACTATTTTGCTCCGAGGAATGGACTAGAGGTCAGCAGGAAAAGTTGCTGAGCCATTTTCAAATACAATCTTATAGTGAAGATGGCCAGCCCCAGCAGCGATTTGCCCCGGGACAGCCCATTTTGGAACCGATTTATTACGGTGCTCCAGAGCCCTTGCATAAAAAGGACTTCGCCGCTCGACCTTTTTTTCAAAAACGCCGCAGGAAGAGGAACGAACCCCAAGCGTTAAAGAATCTACATTTGCCACCGGTAAGTAGGGTATATAATCCGAACCCCAAGAGAATGGATTTACTTCACATGAAGAATGATGAGCAGCATCGCATGAAACTCGATCGGGACAACCTGCCCTCGACGTATTTGTATACAACTTCACCTTCCGATGAGGTCGTGATTTGTGCCAACTTCTCGGAGGGCATTAGCATGTTGGCTCTGGGAACTGTATCCTCTAAGGTATTTGTTTTCTCTCTGAAGCCCTCGAAGTTGGTTCAAGTGAAAGCAGCACAATGGCTGAAAGTTCTGGACACCGGAATGGCTGGGGTTGATAAGGGTATGCTAGATCCCACGAAGAAATTCACCAGACGTACCCTGTACGGACATCAAGGACCTGTCTATGGTTGCTCCTTTAATCCGGAGGATCGCTTTCTGCTCACTTGTTCCGAGGATTTTAGCATTCGCTTGTGGTGCCTTCTGTCCTGGAGTTGTGTGGTTATTTTTCCCGGCCACCTGGCGCCAGTTTGCTTTGTGGTTTTCGCACCAAGGGGATATTATTTCGCCACCGCATCGGACGATTGTACGGCTAGAGTTTGGATGCAGGATAATAGGAAACCCGCCCGAGTTCTGCAAGGACATTTGGCCGAGCTCGGGGTGTGCTTATTCCATCCAAATCGTCACTACATGGCCACTGGATCTGCTGATTGCACTGTTAGGATCTGGGATATTGTCAAGGCTGTGCAAGTGCGACTTTTTCGTGGTCACAAAAGCAGGATAACCGCCTTGACCTACTCCATTTGCGGTCGTTATTTGGTTTCTGGTGGCGATGATAACCTAATTATGATTTGGGACACAGCCAACGAGATTTTGATGCAGTTCTTTGACCATCATAAGGCCACCATTAACACCATGGAGATCGCTTTGGATAATAACTTATTGGTTGTGGGTGGCCAAGATTGCCAGCTGACCATGTGGGACTTCGAACAAGTGGTTAAGAACTACTTGAATAGGGCAAAGTCATCCAGAGTGAAAAACCAGGAGGCAAGTCAAGAATCGAGTGACAAACATTTGCTTGCTAGCTCATTTCGCAGCAAGGGAACACCATTTTATCTGATCCGCTTCAGCCGTCGCAATCTTCTACTGGGTTTCTGTGTGGCTGCTCGAGACTCCGAAAATGATGTCCTTGGCGTGAAGCCTAGTCAGCGCAAGGAGGATAAGAATAAAGAACTCGGCGAGTGGCTGGATTTTCTGGATACCATCAAATTGAAGGCCTGTTTCGATCTGAAGGACGAAATTCATTTGGATACTTCACAGGTGGAGAAGGAAAACAAATCCTAATCATTGGAAATTCTCATTTTCCTCGGTATTTAAATACAAAATTGTTAATATGTATTTATATGAATTTATTTCCTGATTGTTTCTTAGAGTTTCGAAGTAAAACATTTCTCATCTCTAATTCACTAAAATAATACTTACCCGCCAAATCTTTTCTAAAGCAGGGTTGTTTCATGTTATTTATGGAATAATATTGGAGATAAACATTTCGTATGACAAATATACAAGATTTTCTGAAGCACAGACAAACCCCCAGAGCGAAGGAAAATGCTACAGTAACAACAATTTGACAGTTTGGTAAAAAAAACTGGTCAGGCCACGTGTACAGCTGCCCACGACTCATTCCTCCTTGAAATAAAAATTCACTCCTCCCGCAGGAGTTTTCTTCGTGGTCCTCACATTTACAAAAGGCGTGCAAAATTTATAGAGGCACGCATTAAAAAATCCGCCAGGCACGCTCGACTAACTGCGTCCAAACGCCCATGGGGCTGGCAGTTGAGTTTCGAATTGGTCCCGGCCGACCGCAGTCCGATGTCCCTCGTCCTTCGTCCTGCGTCCTGCGTCCTTTCTACAATCCCGGATCCACGAAAAAACCCCCCTTAAGAATAAGCGACAGGACAATATATTTACGCAACTTCTTATGCTACCGCTTCAGCCGGTGGTTGTTGTCCTTCTCTCTCGGCTTCGAAAACAGAACTCAAGTGCTGTCGTTGTCCTTGCTGCTCCTGCCCGCCCCCTTGGCGCCCAAAATCCCAGCCCCACCCCCTCTACGCCTCTGCAGCATCTTGCGACTCGTTTGTAGCAGTTATCTTGTGGGTCCTGCTGCGCGAAATGAAATTGTTTACTCCACTGTCATATGCACGTGAGCCAAGCGATGTGGCTGGCATATCCTGGAATGCACAGAGAAAAATCATTTTAAAATATTTAAAAAATATATCTTTGTCAATGTGAAGAAAACATACTTTTCAAAATATTTATAACAATTAATTGAAACATTTATTTTAACATTTAAAAAAAGGCTTGCATCCACTATTTAATTTCCATATAACAGACGGTATTGGTTTATTAGTATTATAAATTATTTGCTACTTTAATCGACGGGGCATAGTAGTATTTTTTGGAGTGTATCCTTGCGGCATCGTTCTGGTGGGCTATCAAAAAATGAGAATTCTTTCGCTTCGTTTTCTTTTCCTTTGCTTTTTTGGGGGAAAATTCAACGTAATAATTCTTTTCCGCTCGGATGGGATGCGGGGCGTGGCGGCGAGGTACAGTCCGTTTCAGTCCCATAATTGTGCGCAATTTCGCCTGGACATGTTTTCTGTTCGCTGCTCCTTCGACTCAGTCTTTATCTTCAGCCATATCTTTGGTTCAGCGCCATTTTCTTTTCTGGGCCCTCCCCTCCACACATGCAAACAAACATCCACATTTACACACATGTTGTATGTCCTTTAAGAAGCAGAGCCACCCAGCCGCCTTCTTTTATTTGCACATTTTTCATGGGGCTTATTAAGGGACTATGAAAAAATAAACAGCACAGTCCATTTAACCGATTTGCACGATGGGAAGTGGAGAGAAAATCCCCGGGAGCTGAGCAGAGCAGCGCATAAAATAAATATTTATAATCATAACAATGTCCTGGCTGGTTTCGAACCAATCTCAGCCTGATGATGAGCAAACAAACCCAAAATGCGAGGGACTGTGGGCTGAAAATATCCTCGGAAAGGTAACAAAATATTAAACATTAGATTGAGGTAATTATATCATGAAAAATATTTATGTTTTGGTAAAATAGAAAGTATTTCGCCATCGTTGTGCTTGGAATAATCTTGAAATAAACTGTGAAAGGCAGTTCGCGTAGTGACGAAGAGCATGTGTGAAAAACCCTAATAAAAATATGTAAAATGTGGAATTCGTAAATTCCTATTCGGTTGCAACATACCTTCGCTTGCAACTGCTGCCTCCTTTTACGATGCGCCATAAGCGACCCCTTTGCACTCATTAAACTTAAACCGCGTATTAGCAGGCCGTAAATACAGGATGTGTGTGCGTTTGGAGTCGGTAGTTAAATATGATAAATGCGGCGGATTGTATTACAATTGGATTTAGGGCAGCGCCAAAGACAATAAATTAAGTGGCGGACACACACCGATAATTTCAAGTGTGTGCCGCCAAAAAGGCAGCGATGCAAAAGCCAAGTGCCACAAACCCATAATTACGCAGTTCGGGCAGAGGACCCTCGATGTTAGCCAAATTTATACAAATTCCAACTCCAGTAGTTCGGTAGTTCGCTTCACTTCAATTGGGGAGTGCTGCCAGTGGAACGTGTTTCCAGAGCAATTACCCCACGTACCGCACTCCGCATTATTATGGCCAACGTGGCCCCGCAATTATGTCGTCCAATTAATATCAACGCAGCGGGAGTTGAGAGCCCCGATCGAATCGAGTGGCCAGGAGAATGCCCCCTCCATTCCCACTGACTGCATTTTATGCATAAGCTATTTATGAAATTTATTGTCTTAAATGGCCAACGGTAGTCGCCGGTCGAATCTTAATATCCAGCCACTTGACGGCGGACCACCCGTGGCAGTATTTGCACTTAAACAAAAAAGGGATGCAAAAGGCTTCAACATAATTTATTTGCCTATTTATATAGCATTTTATTTATCACAGTTGCTATGAACTTGGCGGAAAAGGGTTGTTATAAGCTTGAATAACTTTAACTAGCTTTAATCTTGAAAATGTTTTAACCACAAGGTAACTAGTTACTTGTTCGTATCTTTAAGGTCAACGATTTTTACCTCAGTGCTTCCATATTTTTCCATATATGCAAAGGCTCCTTTTGCTGAACGAGCAGCCCAATCGATTTCGATTCGGCGTAAAACTACTGGGGATCCAAACATCCATCACGCTGTCAATATGGCAATATGCAATTGCAGCTCACTGGGCCAACTTGACTGGAGATCGAAAGGCTGGCAAGGTGTCTGCATAATTACGGCCAGCAGAAACTGCGGGCCAAATGCGGCTAAATTTATTATAATTTCCACACTTTCGGGCTATGGCCAGATCACGTTTACATTGATAGACGTGGCCCAAAAAGGCAGCTGCGCTGTCCAGAGGCCTCTGGGCCACACGATCTGAACAAGAAACAGGAGCAAAGGACCAAGCACGACGACGACCACGTCATGTCCTGGCCATTAAATTAACAATAAAGTTGAAACTTTTATTACGCAAATGCGATGCGGGATTAAAGTCGCTCCGCCAACTAGTTTTCACTCGAATGGCTGGCAGGCGTTGTCGCAAATGTCCTGAACCTGCTCCTAGTTGCCCTCGTAAGTTTATTAAATTACGCATTCCACTCGTTTCGCACACAATGAATCTGCAGCTGCAACTGCAACTGAAACTGCAGCAGCGAATTTAACCGCAGATCGGAAAAGGATAAGCTATGCACTAGGACATAGGAGTCGTCTGGCTCTGCGGCTTTTGTGGCGGCCACTTATCGCACATGACTGTCTTGGATCGTTCCGCCTAATTGAATTTGCCAGCCCGAAAGTGCATATTCACGTACTTCATCTTATTAACATGTTGCGGCGCACATTGTAATTCATAATTTTTGTATATAAAATATCCCTAAAATTTAGCTGTCGAGTGAAGGGCCCTCTGGGTGTCAATGGCTACACGCTGATGGATTACAAGAAAATTACAGGTCCTCTGCGATACATTTTGATGCACTTTTAATGAATTTAATGACGCCGCGGATAAGCAAGAACGAGGAGATCCTCAGAGAGATCCTTTCCAAAAAGCGTTGAAAGTATCGCGATCGCCTTTCACAACAAACCTGCTTAACAAGATGCAAGCGAACTTTTATAAGATATAAAAGTATCGGTTGGGTTAATTTAATTTGCAGTGCGAGTGCGTACTTTGAATTTCAATTGCAGTGTATGGTTGAAAAACATGTAATAAATTCTGAAAGATAATACAAATTTGGAACTATTTCACTACATAAGCAGCCGAAGAAATTATTATACATTAAAATACGCCAGAAGGAGAACAAGATTGTATCTTTATTTTTGTAAGATCCAAAAATACCTTATTTCTTGGCATTTATTTGCAAACTTAAGTATGAATATATGAAAGAAAAGAGCGATTTCTTAGATTTTACACCTACAAAAAGGGACTCCACCTTCGAATTTGCAAAATGCCTATATAACTTCCTTTAATTTTAATACAAATTCAGTACTGAGAAGATGTCATATTATTTAAATTTTGCTCGCCCAGTCAGAAATCGTGCAAATAAAGCCCTCTTTCAAAATTTCAATTAATATTTCAAGGGGCAATTAAAAATGATAGATTTCCGTTTTTAGCTCGCTGTCAGTTTCGCATTAAGAAGGGCATACAGCCCACATACAATTATGCCGTGGCCGACAATTTGAAAATGCATTTTGCATTAACTTAATTATTTGCCATTCCATCCCAGAAGCGGCGATGGAACAGGTCCCCGTTTTATGCTAACCGCTTATTACCGGGTCGCACGCACTTGTCGAGTTGCCTTCGGGTTCAGATAGTGGCCGGTGATAGCGGCCAGATCCCAGATGCCAGATCCGAAAGTATCTAGTCCGATAGCAATTGCCACAATGTTGCACGCACATGTCGGCGCAGAAAAATATGGATACGGAGTTGTAACTCCCCAGTTTGGTTCAGGTGGTAGCGCCTAATTATGGGCGGGCTATCGCTCATCAAATATGTATAAACCGCAAGTAGATATATTACTGCAAATCATGAAACTCTGTGTGTCGCCCATGGCAATTAGCACATTGTATGCCCAATTGGATAAATTCAATTTGCGCAGCTGCTGTAACACTGGCCTTTCAAAAGAAGGATATCTTAATTATTTTACAGCCCACAAAAGCTTACTTAGCACTTTAATGTTTTAGAAATAGCATATAGTATGCATATTATTGCTTTTCTATTCTTAGTTCACTTAAAAAGGTTACCCATTTCAACAT